ATTCTGATAAGTGAAAAATGTTATCTTTGCTGTTTTGATTTGCATTTTTCTTAACCCTGATCCCCTTTTACAGGGTCCACAACTTAGGGTTGTGAAGATCAAATGAGTTCCTGCAGTAAAGAGTGTATTACAATATAGCCAACATTCTTTTAATTATACCTCTTATAATGAAATTGTTAGTGTTCTCTCTAACTGATACCTCATCCTTACTGAGCTAATAACTTTGGTCATAGGGTCTCATTGAACCCCCATCACAATATACATGACCTCTTAAAAAAGGACACTAAAGTTCAGGCTACATGGCATCTTTGGATCAGATAACCCCAACCCCCCCCCCCCAGCCCCTCAGCCCACCCCATAGTGGTAAATCAGTTTGTTCTGGCCACTTAGTTTCACTAGGAACATCAAGTGAAACTAAACTAAGAGTAACCATTTTCTCAGTGTGCACGCCTATGCACATACACATACACTTATAATCACATTTAACAGTACATAAGAGTTCAGCCAGGTTGATTCCTGAAAACAGAAAATCTTACCAGCCCTACTGAAATGTAATCTATTAAATTGTTTTCTTATAGGTTAGGTTTAGTAGTTGGCAGTGTGTAGTGCATGTTCTCATGTACTTATAGACCCCATGTTTCAAACACCTTATTTTTAAAAAGCCATATCAGATATAGGGGCACCTGGGTGGCTCAGTCAGTTGTCTGACTTTTTTAAAGATTTTATTTATTTATTCATGAGAGGCAGAGACATAGGCAGAAGGAGAAACAGATAGCCCTTGGGGAGCCTGATGTGGGACTTGATCCTAGGACTCCAGGATGATAGCCTGAGCCACCCAGGCCCCCCGAGTGTCTGACTCTTGATTTTGGCTCAGGTCATGATCTCAAGGTTGTGAGATCAAGCCCCACTTCAGGCTTCGTGCTGGGTTTGGAGCTTGATGAAGATTTCCTTTCTTCCTCTCCTTCTGCCCCTTCCTGCCTCCTAAAAAGAAAAGTTAAAGGAGATAAAGATCAGTTTTTAATGAAGCTCATTAGTTAATGAGAATGTCCTATGTTGTGGCACGTAAATCTTAAAAGTTACTCAACATCTTCTCTAGAGGAATGTGTACATTGAAGTTCCGGTGTCTTAGATATGCATATTTATAAAATCAAGTAAAATAAACAAACAAAAAAACCTCTTTTCCTCACATATGTTTCCCAGCGGTAGTGGTAACTAATAGTAATGTTTTACCTACCAGCTTTTTGCAACTTGTTTATATGGGTTAATATATTTTGGATCTGTTGCCATGCAATCAGTAGATTGATATGTGTGAGTGATAGCTGCACATTATTTCAAAATATGAATGTGCATTTATTTCTCTAGTATAAATATTATATTCCATGATAATTTGCGCACATTTCTGCATTTTTAGTTTTGATTGGTATTTGTGTAGATTAAAAAGTTGCATTTATTTTCATTTGCTTGTCTTCTAGGAAAGTCAAACAGCTTTTGAACCTGTGGATTTCCACTTAAGCAAAGAACACATTCCTGTCTTTTTCTCACTCTTCTACTGAGTCATTTACCTTTTCTTGTTGATTGTTGAAGTTCTTTTATATTACGAAAAGTAACTATCTACGTGTAGTATCAATTTTTTCCTAGACTATCCTTTGCTTTTACCTTTTTATGGTAATATTTCTCCTCCCTTTTTTTGACAAATATAGGTATGAAGAAGTCAATACATTTTACATCCTGATTCAGTGCACGGACACATACATACACATTATTATTATTTTTTTACATACACATTATTATTATTTTTTACATACACATTATATAAAAGATTTGTTCTTTGTTTATTTTTTTAAAAGATTTTATTTATTTATTCATAGACACAGAGAGGGAGGTAGAGACACAGGCAGAGGGAGAGGGAGACGCAGGCTCCATGCAGGGAGCCCGATGTGGGGTCTCCAGGATCACACTCCAGGCTGCAGGCGGCGCCAAACCCCTGCGCCACCGGGGCTGCCCTATAAAAGATTTACATTATAAGATTGCCTGGCTGGCTCAGTTGGAAGACCATGTGACTCTTGATCTTGGGGTCATGACAGCAAGCCCCACCCTGGGTGTAGGGATTACCTAAATGAATAAAACATTTGTTTTTAAATGATTTACATTGTAATACTTATTTTTACTAAATGTAGTGTATTTGTATTTTTCTGTATAATTTTGTTAAGAAAAACCACTTGTTACAAAGCACTAAGTTGGTATTGGAACTTCTAGATTATGATCAACAGTTTGCAAAGAACTACATTATGGTGTCTTTGCTTTAAAAATTGTTCATATTATACGTAGTTAAAATATTTTTTTCCTTTATGGTTTCTCACTTTACTCTTGCTTGGGAATATTTTCCCTACTTTCTAAATTGTCTTATCTTTTTTTTTTTTTTAATTTTTTTTTTTAATTTATTTATGATAGTCACATAGAATGAGAGAGAGAGAGGCAGAGACACAGGCAGAGGGAGAAGCAGGCTCCATGCACCGGGAGCCTGATGTGGGATTCGATCCCGGGTCTCCAGGATCGCGCCCTGGGCCAAAGGCAGGCGCTAAACCGCTGCGCCACCCAGGGATCCCTGTCTTATCTTTTTATATTTAAATTATTAATTTATCTGGAATTTTTGTTATATATTAAAATATCATATCACCCTTGTCATTTTTAAGAAATTGACACTTTCTCCACTGCTTTGAAATGCCATTTTAATAATAAAAGTTTATTTGTTAATTTATTAACCTGTATGTTAAAAAATTGACAATTGTTTCAGTTTAGTTTTTTTTTTTAAGATTTTATTTATTTATTCATGAGAGACACAGAGAGAGCCACAGACACAGTCAGAGAGAGAAGCAGGCTCCCTGCGGGGAACCCAATGTGGGACTCGATCCGATCCCAGGACGGCGAGATCACCCCGAGCCTAAGGCAGACGTTCAACCACTGAGCCACTCAGGCATCCCAGTTTTTTAAGTTATTATTGAAATGTAATATATACAGAGAATGTATATATGAGAATTGTATATTTTGATGAATTTTGACAAACTGAACATAACCTATGTAACCTGTGTTTCCTGATCGAGAAATTAGATAATAATTTATTTCTACTAAGATTGTTTAATGTGCAAGAAAAGATTATTTAATGTTTAACTTTAGAATTGGGTAACGCTTACACATTTTATAGCTATTCTGTGCTTTGATTTAGTTTTTCCATCAATACTTCAGGTTTGTCTATGGACTCAGGTATATCATCTTCATTGAATAAGAAGTCTCCTAATCTTAATATTTTTTTCTCTTCCTGGGGTTTTAACTAGAATGTCCACAGCCATATTAAAGATTAGGAGGTGTAGGTTATCTTTACATTTGCTCCTGACAGGAGTTGGAAATGCCACTACTGTCTCAGTTCCTATGTTGTAATTTTGGATGAGGTGTTTCAGGGTTTTAAAAATAGGGATTAGAAGGGAATATAGACAGTGATTGCTTAATGCATACAAGGTTTCTCTCAGGGCTGATGAAAGTGTTCTGGAATTAGATAGAGGTGATTATTGCATAACATTGTAACTATGCTTAAAAACCACTGATGGATAGTTTTCAATGGTAAAATGGTTAATCTTATGGGTATTTCATCTAAAAATTTTTTAAAAGGAATTATACTGTTCCACTAAAGATAATGGCTAAAGTGAAAAGACAGAGCATACTAACTGATAATAAGAATGTGCAACAATTAGAACTGTCATAATTACTGGTGGGAGTGTATGTTGGTAACCATTTTAGAAGATTCATTGGCCTTTCTACTAAAGCTGAAGATAACATACACTTACACACTTGATGACCTAGTACTTCCAGTCCACCCAATGTGTATATGTTCACCAAACGATAGCAATAGTATATTATCGTGGTATACTTAGAATACTCAAAAACCAAGAATTAACTCAACTGTCCATCCACAGTAGAATCAATAAGCATGTTATAGTATATTCAATCAATGAATTACTATACAACAATAAGAATCAATGGACTGCAAATACACTTAACATGAATGAACCCCAAATATAGTTTTGAGTGTGAAAGGAAGTCAGTTAAAGTTTGGAAATAAGCAAAAGAGATCTATGGTAGATGTCAAAACAATGGCAACCCTTTGCCAGTGGACTGATGACTAGATGGGAGTTTCTTGGCTGGAACTTGGGTGCTTAGGGGTTCATTTGTGAAAAAATCAATAAGCTATACACTTAGGATTTGTACGCTTTTCTGTGTGTATTATGTATTTCAGTACAGCTTGCATTAAGATAATAGATATTGCCTATTGATTGGTACCAACATAAAAATAGTTTAAAGATTTATTTGGAGGAGTGCCTGGGTGGCTCAGTCATCCAACTCTTGATTTCGGCTCAGGTCATGATCTCTGGGGTCGTGAGATTGAACCTGCATCAGTGTCTACCCTGAGCAAGGACTCTGCTTAAGATTCTCTCTCTGGGGCACATGGGTGACTCAGTTGGTTAAGTGTCTGCCTTTGGCTAGAGTCCTGATCTTGGGGTCCTGGGATCAAGTCCCCCATTGGACTCCCTGCTTCTCCTGCTCCCTCTGCTCCTCACCCCACTTGTGCTCTCTGGCTGTCTCTCTGTCAAATAAATAAAAGCTTTAAACTTAAAAAAATAAATCTGCCTATACTATTTATTAAGTTTTTCCGTCTGCCTTTTCCCCCCAACCCCCCCTTACACTTGTTCTTCTCTCTCTCTAAAAAAAAAAGTATTTTGAAAAACAAATATGTATGCCAAAATATTACCAGGTATGAGTTAATGATAGTTTGTACTTCATTTTTTCCCCCCTACACACTCCTTTTCGTATTTTATTGAAAACAAAAAGCAAAAGTAGTATCTTTTTCAGGGGCATTACATTTAGTTCCTGTAAATTATAAAGTTCCTGTGGCTCTTACTCCAATATTTGCATAAATATTATGAGATATTTCTGTGTTTATTTTGTAGGCAGATTTTGACAACAAATCAGTAAATGGCCTCAAGTCAGAATCCATGGAATACAGGAGGAGTTATGGGGGGGAACACAGATTGGAATTAAACCCACCTCCCCTCGAAAATGTAACCAAAAATGAAGAAAGTATGACAGGTATTGAAGTGGAGAAGTGGACGCAAAACAAGAAATCACATTTAACCGATCATGTCAAAGGCGAATTTAAGGCAATTGTGACAGAAGCTGAAAATTTTAAAAATTCTGAAGATGACAAGAAAAAAGTCCTCCTTACTGACTTAATTGAGCCTCAGAAATTGTTTGCACAAACTATAAGAAACGGCATTAAAAATGCACACTATTTACCAACCGAAACAAACGTGTCTTTTAAAAAATTCAATATTGAAGAATTTGGCAAGGCATTTGAAAACAACTCCTATAAATTCCTGAAAGACACTGCCAACCATAATGCCATGAGTTCCATTGCTACTAGTGAGAGCTGTGATCATCTCAAGGGGAGAAATAATGTTTCAGTCTTCCAGAAGCCTGGCTTTAACTGCAAGTCTTTTCCAGATCCTACAACTTTCAACTTAAATAGTCATACTAGTCATACTAGTCATACACACAATGAAAGTGATCAACCCAAATCTCTAGATAATATACCAAGTAAAGACCCAAAAGATGGATCTCCAGTTCAGCCAAGTCTTCTATCCCTGATGAAAGATAGGAGATTAACACTGGAGCAAGTGGTGGCCATAGAAGCTCTGACTCAACTGTCAGAAGCTCCATCAGAAAATTCCTCACCATCAAAGTCAGAGAAGGATGAAGAAACAGAACACAGAACAGCAAGTTTGCTTAATAGCTGTAAAGCTATCCTCTATTCTGTAAGAAAAGACCTCCAGGACCCAAACCTGCAAGGGGAGCCAGAAAGCCTTCATCACTATCCATCTTTGGAAAAGCAGACTTCATGCAACACGGTGGTGTTCAATGGCCAAAACATTTCCAAGTCACACCACAACTCAGCTGCTAACCAGGCACCTACCAAGTCACAGGAATGTTCAAAAGCCACAAATTCAATAACTCTTTTTATACCAAATTCAAATTCATCTAAAATTGACACCAATAAAAATGTTGCTCAAAGTAGAATTACTCTTGAGAGTTCTAAGAATTTGCATCAGTTGCCACCAGCAGGTGATAAATTGGGGTATTGTAACCAATCACTGGCCAGCAGTAAAAAGATAGACTTAAAAGACGATCCATCGTGTCCAAATACAATACACAGCAAAATAGAGGAAGATGTTGCAACACAGTTAACACAACTTGCGTCCATAATTAAATTCAATTATATAAAACAAGAAGACAAAAAGGTTGAGAGTACACCAACAAGCCTTGTTGCATATAGTGTACAGCAAAAATGTAGTCAGGAGAAGGCCACAATACAACAGAAACCACCTTCCAGTGTACAAAACAATCATAGCTCATTATTGACAAAGCAAAAGAACACAACACAGAAAAAGACAAGAGCTACCCCATCAAGAGATCGGCGGAAAAAGAAGCCAGTAGTCATAAGTTGTCGAGAAAATGACCAGAAAAAGCAGGAACAGTTGTCATATGAGTATAGTAAATTACATGACATTTGGATAGCATCTAAATTTCAAAGATTTGGTCAATTCGGTCCACATGATTTTCCCATTCTGTTGGGAAAAATTCCTCCTTTAACCAAAGTATGGAAACCACTGGCTCAAACGAGTTCAGTGTTAGAACACAAAAAATTGTTTCCTCCACTCACTCAGATAAAATTTGAGCGTTATTATCCTGAATTAGCACAGGAAAGAAACATGAAGGTTGAACCGTTGGATTCTCTCCCAATATGCCAGTTAAAAACAGAGTCCAATGGGCAAGCGTTTACAGAAAAAGTATATAGTTCTCAGGTACAGCCAACAGGGAATGTCAATCAGAAAGCCCATCCTTTACTCCAGCCCTCCTCTCCAACTAACCAGTGTGCTAATGTAATGACCGGCGATGACCAAACACAATTCCAGCGGGATGTTCAAGACCCACTCATGCATCAGAGACTGCCAACATTGCCTGGTATCTCTCATGAAACCCCCTTACCAGACCCAGCACACATTCTCAGGAATGTAAATGTGGTATGTTCAGGTGGAATTACAGTGGTTTCTACCAAGAATGAGGAGGACGTCTGTTCATCTAGTGTTGGAGCATCAGAATTTTCCCCAGTAGACAGTGCACAGAAAAGTTTTAATGATTATGCCATGAACTTCTTTACCAATCCTACAAAAAACCTGGTGTCCACAACAAAAGACTCTGATTTGCCAACCTGCAACTGTCTTGGTAAGTGTGTGCACATATAGCTGAGTGCATGTGCACCTGCATGTTTGTGTGTGTGTGTGTGTGTGTGTGTGTGTGCTTTGTTTACCTCCATTAATTGCCTCGTTGTGACCAGGTCAATTTTGGGTTATCTTTTACATGTGGCAACTTTGCCCCATTCATATCCTAGCTAAAATGGAGTAGATTCTATACCCATTTTTCTGGGGGACCTTGATTACTTTTGCTCAAATAATTAGGAAGTTTAACTCATAATTTCGAAACTTCAACAAGTGGAAAATTTGCTAATTTCTCTCAGCTAAATGTCTCCTAAGTTATTTATTGTACATATCATAAGAATGAATTCCTTTATTATCTATCCTATATTTAAAAAAATTTCAACCGGGATCCCTGGGTGGCACAGCGGTTTGATGCCTGCCTTTGGCCCAGGGCGCGATTCTGGAGACCCCGGATCGAATCCCACGTCGGGCTCCCAGTGCATGGAGCCTGCTTCTCCCTCTGCCTATGTCTCTGCCTCTCCCTCTCTCTCTGTGACTATCATAAAATAAATAAAAATTTAAAAAAAAAAAGATTGCTCTAAAAAAAAAAAATTTCAACCTCTAAGCATTTTGTTTAAAAAAAAGTTTTATGTGAGATATAAAATACATACAGAGAATATAAAATGTATGTGCAGCCTAACAAATAACTATAAAAATATCTATAATTGCCACCCTATGCAAAAACTGGAAATGGTTTCTTTCTTTTCAATGACAGTGCTTTTCTGCTATGTGATACAAAGGATGTCTAGATATGAAAAAAATCCCTAGTCCTGGCCATTGATGAATTTGTGAACCTTTTGAAATATTAAAATATGAAATTGTATAATATCGATTGTCTATAAAAAACAAATAAGCATATGCAACTAGCTGATTTATGGAACAATTCATAACTGATATTTATTTTGTGCCTTAGGAGTTATTGCAAATGAACATCCAGGAACTAATAATTAGAATTTTTATTGTGTTAAAAGTCCTGGGAAAATCTTAGGCTCTTTTTTTTTTTTTTTTTTAAGATCTTATTTATTTGCTCATGAGAGACACACAGATAGAGACAGAGACACAGGTAGAGGAAGAAGCAGGTTCCATGGAGGGAGCTGGATGTGGAACTCCTCCCAGGACTCCAGGATCATGCTCTGAGCCCAAGGCAGATGCTCACCCGCTGAGCCACCCAGGCATCCCCTAGACAGGCTTTATGAGAAATTTGCTCAGTATTTGGAACACAAGAAATGCTGAATTTCAACCTTGTACTGATTAGTCACTGTCTATGGTAAAATTTCATGTAAGTGCTCAAATAAAAGAATTAATTTACTCTAATGTAGCTGTAATAGGGAAATTAAATAGATTGTGTCATTAAAGTTTGTTAGGCTGCTCATGCCCTCATTATTTCAGCTTTATTATGAGGATTTTTGAGGACAGAATTTGTGAAATAAACCTATTTGGGTTCAAAATAGGTTAATTATTAAAAGTCTTATTTAAAAAAAAAATTTAAATATAGCTCCAAATCAGAAAGATTTAAGATTGCCTTGAACATTGGAAGCTTTTTTTCCTGAAGTAGGTGTTTCATAAGTACATTGCAAAATGGGCAAATGATTATTTGAAAGGATAAACTATATCATTTTTTCTTAAATCACAGGAGAAAAAATAGTGAAGTGTAGCAGTGACCTTTTGCTCTCGATTATCTAAAGTGATACTTTGAAATCAATCCTTCCATTTCTCCACTCATCATTCATCACAGTTATGACAGCCTACTACATGCCAGGCCCCAGGGATATGCTCTTCTTAGAAGGATCTCATAATATGAAAAGCATATCTCATAATATGCTTGAGTGGGGTTCAACTGGGAGAATGGGAGTTTCCTGGAGCAAGGACAGAAGAGTGTAGCAAGGATGACTCCTCCTATTCCAGATCTTTAATGCAAGTCTGAAACTGTACTATGACCTTGACTTGTCATGTTCAGAACATGCCTACAAAGGGAAGATGTGTTATCTCCATTTTACAAGTGAAGAAACTAAGTCACAGGGGAAGTCACAGCTAGTAAATTATTAAACTGGAATTCAAAACAGTAGTCTCAACTTCAGAGCCTATGTTTGTACTCTTCTTGCTCTGGTTTCAAAAATCTGAATTAAGAAAGGGACAGTATTTTTCTAAATATCATTACAAATGGAAAAAAAGATCTCTAATTTAAAATGCCATTAAAATTTATATACCTGAGCTAGTCTTATTTTACTGTGTGCATAATATCAGAACAATTGTTTAGTTTCAAGACTTTTTCCTTATATATTACATAATAATGTACATAGTCACCATGTAGTAGTTGAGACACCCAGGCATTTAAAGTTTATTGAGCATCTGCAGTGGACCTGTGATTGTTTTATGCATTGTCACATATTTTTCTGTAATCTTTGCATGTGAGGTTACTATGCTTTTTGTATAGAAATAGGAACTTAAGAAAAACAAAAAAGCAGGGGTGCCTTGGTGGCTCAGTCAGTTAAGCATCCGACTCTTTTTTCAGCTCAGGTCTTTATCTCCAGTTCTGAGTTCAAGCTTCATGTTGGACTTCACACTTGGAATGGTGCCTACTTTAAAACAACAACAACAAAAAAGCAGACTCACTCAGAAATTATCCCAAGTGGAATGATCATATCTAAAAGATTTCCATGGAGAGACATCTGGGTGGTTCAGTCGGTTAAGCATGTGGCTCAGGTCTTGATCTCAGGGTCTTGAGGCCTCGCATCGGCTCCATGCTGAGTGTGGAGTCCACTTGAGATTCTCTCCATCTGTCTCTCCCCTTGCTCGTGCATGTGCTCTCTCTTTAATCTTTAATTAAAAACAAGATTTCCATGGATGTATTGTGTTCTAGCAAAATAAGAGTGCTTAACCTCTGCTCTGGATCATGGTTCCTCAATTTGAGCACTATTGGCATTTTAGATAAGGTAATGCTTTGATGTGTAGGGGGACTGTTGTCTGCATCCTAGCCTGTTTAAGTGGGATCCATGCCCTCTACCCACTGGATACAAGTAAATACACACACACACCTGCCCAGTTGTAACAACCAAAAATATTTGCCAAATGATCGCTCAGGAAAAATTGCCCCTGGTTAAGAACCACTGCTCTAGATCATCATTAATAAGTTAAAATCTGTTCAGTGTATTTTAGGAAGCCACAGAAGTAATCCTATGTTGTAGCTGATAATCAGTCAAAATGGTTAAATAATCACCTTTCGTTATAGGTGCACCATGGCAAGAAATGCATTCATCAGCGATTCTAGTTAGACGTGATTCTAAGAGGCCAAGTTAAAAATACTGTTTTTGAGAAACTCGTAATTCATACAAAATTTAAAGTAGTACAGTGGTGCCTGGCCGGCTCAATCTGTAGAGCATGCGATCTAGAGTTGTAATCTCAGGGTGGTATTGAGTCCCGCATTGAGTGTAGAGTTTGCTTAAAATTAAAATCTTTAAATGATAACAATGTTAAAGATTTTATCTATTTACCAGAAAGAGAGAGAGAGAGAAAGGACGAGCAGGAGCAGGGTGGGTCGGAGAGAACAGGCAGCCTGACCTGGGGCTCTATTTCAGGACCCAGAGATCATGACCTCAGCCAAAGGCAGATGCTTAACCAACTGAGCCACCTAGGTGCTCAATGTTTGTAAATATTGATTTAACGGTTTTATTGTTTTCCACTATATAAGCATCCCTTAATTTATTCAACCTATCATTTAGTGACAGATGCTAAGTGTGTTTCTTTTTTTGGTATTACAAATAATTGTGACAAAGAACATTCCTGTGTACATTTGCATCATAAATATATAATTATGTGACTGTATAGGAGAATAAATTCTTAGTGGTGCAGTTGCTGGGCTCAATTTTAATAGGATTCTGAGCAAAGCTTTTAAAGATGTATTGCTCTTAGATAAGTTTTAATTTTGCATTTCAATTATTAATAGATTTCTTTCAAAGCAGGAGATAGAATAAATATGACCCACATCTTAAATATTTCTTTTCCTCTTCTGACGCTTAGAGGAAGCATGAAATAGTGCCCGCAAGAAAGGAACAAGTTAAATTCTAGGGCCTATTGTCCTAGACTTTAATTATTAAAGTTTACCAAAACCTTGTCAAGATAAATTGTTCTGAGTTGATAAAAAAAAAAAAAAGAATTAATAAAAATAGCTCCTCCTTGCCCCTATGCAATTCTGTAAAGGTCTTTGGGTCTAATAATCTTATTCCTTCCACAGATCGAGTTATACAAAAAGACAAAGGCCCATATTATACACACCTTGGGGCAGGACCAAGTGTTGCTGCTGTCAGGGAAATCATGGAGAATAGGTGAGGAAATATCCTTCCCTGTTAAAATCATTCATTATTGTACACCTGACTCAATGTAGAGAGACCATCTCCGGGAACAAATGAGAAGTAAATGGCAAACTCAAGAGTATAAGTCGGATGTTTCTTAGGGCCCAGGAAAAGAATAGCATCCTGGTGTCCCTGCTGAGTCACTCATCACATAAGCCTTTGGGCACTCAACAAGACATTTATAAAGCAAGGCTGCCTTTGTTAAATCCAGAAATACTTAATTTTTATATCATTGTATAATGGTAGAAATAGTTAAAATTACCTCCATCAACACTGCATTCACACTCCTTATGCTTATCTTTGAGCCAGTCCATTTTTTTTAAAGAAGTGATTTTTAAGGATAAGTAAACAGAACGGGATAACAAAAATATCTGCCACACAAAAGCAATTTTTTAACAAATGTAAATTTGAATGAACAGGGTATTTGATTTCTGTACTTAACGTAAATTTATATCTTCTGTACCTTCAGATGTTAAAGGATGTATCGCATTTGCAATTATTTTCCCTTCACTGTGCTTTGTACTCAGGTATGGTCAAAAAGGAAACGCAATAAGAATAGAAATTGTAGTGTATACGGGGAAAGAAGGAAAAAGCTCTCATGGGTGTCCAATTGCTAAGTGGGTAAGTATTTTGTACTTACACGTTTTTCAAACATGAATTTATTCCACATATAAAATCAATCAATTTATTTTCCATGAAAATAGTGACTAGAAAAGTATCCACTGTCATTGTTCCCTAGGAAATAATAAGGAAGCTGTCTGTCTTAGCCTGGGCAATTTATGTTAAATGAACAAAAGTTTACAGTTATTACCAAGTGACCTTCATCTCCCCAAGGTCCCCATGTTTACCAGTTTATTGTGTACTTCTCGAGATCTTCTAATGCAGTTATAATTGGATAGCATAAGTAAATGGTATTAAACTATACAGTGTTTTATATCTTTCATCTGTTTTTGTATTTTGTAATTATTTCCAAGTATTATCCATAGGACCACCTTAATGAGAGTCCTACTATTCTGAAAGCAAAATTAATTTTTTATGACATACCGCCAAAACTATTTCCATGACTTTGAGTTTTCTAAAAAATGCAGAACCATAAGAACTGGATTCAATTTCTTTAGGAAGTTGTCAAGTGAAAAATAAGTTCATAGCCAAATGTGTATATTCAATAAAATATTCATATCCACAAGGATATTAATCAGTGGATTTGGAATTTTTGAACATAGAATCATTTGAGATCCCTGTTCTATCATTTGTTAATAATGATGGTTTAAAAAAATGTTTTTTTAAATGGTGATGGTGGTAAGAATAATAAAATGATAGCAATTACCTTTTGTTACACATCAGGCACTAGGTTAAGAATTTGACTAACATTTGCCTCATAAATCCTCACAGAGGGGCTCCATTATGATTTTGAATAAGGTAAAGGTCATTATTTGCATACCTCTTGGAGAAATTAAGAACATTAAAAGCAAAATGGCAATGGGATTTAAACCCTGGTATTCCTAAAGCAAGACAATTGGCACACCCATAGCTACTCTAGAGGTAGACTTTCTCTTGGTTACTTTTCAACCTTTGGGAGATGACTGGCAGTTACAAGCACAAGAGCTGTATAGTCCACACTAACTACTTTAGAATGCTTTGTTTCCTCAATCTGTTTGGAGCACTTAGTCTTGTCAAAATACACATAGGCTCGGAGACCTGGAATTTACCTTGTTCGGTTATCCTACATATATAGTAAAGTCCACAAATCGTAAGTGTACATATCAAGGTTATTCCTCATGTGTATAACACTACCTGGATAATGATACAATCACTTTCACCACCCAGAAGGCTCCCGCATGGCCTGTCCCAGCCAATGATTCCACATAAAGATAACTACTCTTTTGATATTTATCTTCATATCTTTTTTTTTTTTAATGAACTTCACATAACTGGAATCATAGAGTATATGCTCTCTTGTGTCTCTTTTCACTCAACATTCATAGAACAGGGATCTAATGGCTGGGGTTCCAACAGCCATCTGGAAGCTTAAATTGACTTGATAGGGGAAGATATGTGCTAAGTTAGTGGGAAGAAAGATAAGAGCCTGAGTCCCTGGTGATACCAGTAGAGTTGCCAAACCAACCTTAGCCCTTCCTAAATCTGAATTTATTTAATATTAGAGGGGAAAAAAATTTTTTGTGGCTTATTTAAAACCTGTGATTTGTGAGTTTTCTGTGATATGAAATAAAATCAAGTAAGTACCAATTAAGGTAAATTGTCTTCAATTTGTTAAGTGTGGATGAATTTTGGAAGAAAAAAACATTTCAGAATGCAAAAAATAAGTGAAGAAACTTGTGAACATTAAGTACTTTCTATTGATTGCCAGGCCCTAGGTTAGATATTGGAGGAGGCAAACATGAATAAGATCTACCAGGCATTTCATTTTGTAGATGGACAGAAGCTGGCCCAGTTTTATCAGCCAGGGTGAGACTAGACTTGCGGACTACAATTTATCCTCCAGGAACACATTTGTTTTCTAGGGTCACTTTGCCTCAAAAACTAAATAAAATTTCCTTAAAATGCTCCCCAACTAGTTTTAAATTACTATTTCCTCATTTCGTGGATCAGTCTATTGTCCTGTCATGCACTGGTTTTCACACTGTGTTAACTCAGTTATGAAGGTACAGCCTTTTCTCAGTCCCCCACAAAACATTCATATCTGTCTCTAGGTGTAACAGTTTGGGTGAAGATGTATGTAAACAACAGCTAGAGTGATGAGGTTTATTTTTTTGTTTTATTCATTCATTTGAAAAAGTAATACAGTTGATTCAAAACATTTTAAAGTAGGAAATAATGTATAGATTGCCCACTTTTCTATTGGATTATTAGTCTTCTATTGATTTTAAAGGAGCCCCTTTAAAAAATTGATGTTTGTGATAGGAGTTGCAGATGGATTTCCACAATTTGTCATTGTTTTTAACATCTGGGTGGTTTTTTTTTTTTAACATCTGGGTTTTTTAAATGAAATTTTTACATTAAAGTTTTTTTTAAAGATGAAAAACACTTTTCACCTATTCTTTGTGATTTTAGTGTATTATGTCCTTTTAAATTTTATTTATTTATTTGAGACTGAGATAGTGAGAGACAGCTCAAGCATGGGGGTTGGGAGAGGGAGAAGCAAGCTCCTCACTGAGCAGGGAGCCTGATGCGGGCTCAATCCCAGGACCCTGGGATCATAACCTGAGCGGAAGGCAGCCACCTCACCAACTGAGCCACCCAGACACCCCAGTGTACTGTATCTTAGTTAGAAAAATCTACCACTTGTAGATTATTAAAAAAACTTTCCATTTTCTTTTTACTGTATTTTAATGATTTCGTTTCTTTGCATTTAACTATTTTATTCATTTTTGTGTGTGTAGAATATTAGTAACAATATTTTTTCAGATGACTACCCAGCCAGCCAAAACCACTTACTTAATTGTTCATCTTTTCTCTTCTGATTTGTATTTGTTTGTGTTAGTAGATTTTCAGTTCTGTTCCCCTCATGTTATGTATCTCCGATATAAGCATCAAATTACTCTAATTATTTAGGGTTTATGTTTTCATATCTGATAGAGCTAATTCCTCCTTTTAATTCTTCAGAAATTTCTTGACAATTCTTGCTTTGTTGATTTTTCCATAAGTTAATAATCATCTTAACTAGTTGCAAGAATAAAGTCCTATTGGTATTATAATGGAACCATGTTGCACAGAAAACTTGGAGAATTTACTTTTTTTTTTTTTTTAAGATTTTATTTATTTATTCATGAGAGAGTGAGAGAGGCAGGCAGAGACACAGGCAGAGGGAGAAGCAGGCTCCACGCAGGGAGCCTGATGTGGGACTTGATCCCGGGCCTTCAGGATCACGACCTGAGCCAAAGGCAGATGCTTAACCACTGATCCACCCAGATGTCCCTGATTTTTTTTTTTTTTTTTTTTTTTAAGGAATCTCTACACTCAACATGTAGAAAACCCCAAGTCCTAAGGTCAAGAGTCATATGCGCTGCCAATTGAACCAGCCAGGTGCAGAGGTGTTTTAAAGTGTTGTTCCTAAATATGACATATTGCTTGTTTTTCACTTTATTTTTTTGTGTGTTGGAAGTACAATTGTGTAATCCATAATGACAAATTTATATTCTCCTTTCTAAATTTTATATTATTAATTTCTTTATTTCATTTAATATAGTTAGTCAAACAGACTAACTCTAGTTTTATATTGCTTTAAATAATGACCTCCTTATCTTGTTCCTCTCATTAGTGGGAACTTTCCAGGGCTTTCTCATGACTGGGTCATCAGGGAAGGCCTCTCTGAGGAGGGACATAATCTCAGAGGAGTCCAATAATTTTGAGTTTGTGGAGAATGGAACTAGGTGAGGGTAAAAAGGTATAGGCAGAAACCAGGGCATGAATGGTTTCGTATACCATAGTGTTCTGAGTTTGGGTTTTAGTACATGAATAACATGAAGCATTAAAGTATTTCGGTTAGGGTTGTGTTATCTATCTGGTTTGTGTTTCATAAAGAGCATTCTAAAGAATTAATTGACAGTCTATTAGTTATCTGTTGCTAATTAATAGGTACTCAAATTTAGTTGCTCTGAACAATAAGCATTTATTATCTCATAGAGTTTTTATGGGTCAGGAATATGACAGTCAGGGCACCTGGCTGGCACAGTTAGTAGAATATGCAAGGGTTTTTTTTTGTTGTTGTTTTTGTTTTTTTTTTAGGATTTATTTATTTATTTGAACATGTGAGAATGAGCGAGCTGGAAGAGGGGCAGAGGGAAAAAACTCAGACTTCTGAGTGCATACCCAAATCAAGGCTCAATCTCATAACCTGAGGCGAAATCAAGAGGCTGTGTTTTAGCCGATTGAGACACCCAGGTGCCCCTGGGCATGTGACTCTTAATCTCTGTGTCGGTACTTCAAGCCCAAAAAAGTTAAGAATCTGAGAACAGTTTAGCAGAGTGCTTCTGGAAGAGGATCATGAGGTTGCCATCATCTGAAAAATTTGACTGGGGACTATGTAGTGGAGCTGGACGGATCACTACCCAGGTCATTTGCAGAAGGGTTTTCCTTGATGTCTGTTTGCTAGAAACCTCAATTTCTTACCATAGTACTACTTTTTTTTTTTTTTAAGATTTAATTTATTCATGAAAGACACAGACAGAGGCAGAGGGAGAAGCATGCTCCATGCAGAAAGTTCGATGCAGGACTCTATCCCAGGACTCCAGGATCACGCCCTGAACCAAAGGAACATACTCAACCGTTGAGCCACCTAGGCATCCCTTACCATAGTACTAAAGTGTTTCCACATGTCATGGCAGCTTAGTTTTCCCCATAGTGAGTCAATGAAAAGATAACAAGCAAGAAACCACAATGTCTTTTATGACATTAGCCTTAGAAGTTCTACACAAGTGAGCCCTATTCAGTGTAGATAGGTTCTCTGCATGAGTCCCAATACCAGGTGGTGGCAGTCATTGGGGACACCCTGGAGATGGCTACCACAATATTCCATATCTCTTTTTCACTAAAAATATCAAAGTTAAAGACACTACATTAGCATCATAAAGTATATCTTAGCCTTGTCCAATCTCTAATAT